TTCAGTAGAACATCGATTCGAATTTCTTTGATAACTGGATAGAGAAGAGCGATTTAGTAATTATTTTTTTTGTAGTATTTATGCCACAGTTAAAGCTTATTACTATAGATCCATAGTTTAACTATTAATATTAACATTAAGATTGATATGACTATTATTAACATTAAAAATGTTATTGGCTTTAGATGGATTGCTCTTGCTTTTCTATTTCGATAAAATGGCTGCTAAATTGGTTTTACTGAGAGACTTTTTAGATTCAGTTGGAATGGACTTCTTCACAGAGGAGGTTTTGGTATCTATTTCAAAGGGTCTTTGATTTTTTTTACTTATACTTCCGTTGATAATGACTATTATAATGTGTTGTACTATTGGAATTGCTCTTAGCTCTGGAGGCACCCTTTTATTCACATTTTTTCTTAACAAAATCTTTGCAATTTATTGTATGCAACTTCCTTTCTAAATCATTTAAAATAGTTCTATATGTTTATTATGTAGCAGGATGTTTTGACTTTTTAGGTTGAGGAGGCTTTAATTTTTATTAATAAGGTTTTGGCTATAATACAACTGCATCTTCTGATAAATGCTCAGATGAACTATTAAAATTGAAATTTAGATCTAATTGATCTTCTGATTTTTCATTTCCTTCTGTTTTTAAACGATGTGGAGATTCAATTGTTTAATATTTATCAGGTGTTTCATCAAAAGGGATTCGAGGAAACACATAATCCTATTTTGATTATCTAAATTTGAATTCAATCTCTTCTCTCTATTAACATCTATTTGAATATAATGGTTGGCAAACTTGCATAAAGTAATCATCCGTTCTATTAGAAGAATCGCAATTAAATTTATCAGTCATTTGTGAATATATATCATCCATTTCTTATAATTATATTAATAATAATAGTAATGAATAATAAATATTATAGTTACGACCTTTATTTCTTTATTAATCTATATCCTAGAACAACTCTTAATTGCAATTCTATTTATTCTAGTAGTTCTATTCATATGTTATTGAATTTTTTAAAAGCCCTCACAATACAATTTTAATTCATTAACTAATTCCTAATTCATTTTCATTAAAACATCTTTATATGTTTCTTATCCATTTTAGTTCTTGTTTTTAACACTTATATAATTTTATCATGTTTTTTTATTCATTTTAGTCTTATTTACTTCATGATTAGCATAAGAATAATTCAAATATTAACAATAAAGCTGTGTTTTTTTTGTAATTACACATTTATCTTAATAAGTCGATACTTTGAATACTATATCATCATTAAATGATTCCTTAACTTTGAATCAATCTAAATTTATCTTATATCATTACTCATACAGTTGTATATTCATTAATAGATTTGTTGTTCTATAATTCCTATTGAAATTTTAACCCAATTATTTTAATATGTTCATTAGTATATGCTAATTATTATTATTACTATATAGTTCACGTATCTTACATTTAAGATTTCGTGTTCCTCATAACTTTATTAAAATTATATTAATTATTTTGCAAAATCTAACAATTCTTATTCTAATTTAAATTTTTTAAAGGATCTCTTTTATTATTTTATTTAATTCTTGTTTTATAATGCTGAATTTTTACAAGTTCTATTATTCAAACCTTTTATAATATAGGAAGTAAAAAGAAGCCATATGACTATAATTTTCTAAATAACTTTCTTGATGATTAAATTACAAGTTATCTTAGTAATTAATTTCGTTTAATTTTTTCTAATGTAAAATATTATTTCTCTTAATCTAAAATTTCTTTGAATTTTTTAATTATTAATTAATTTATTAAATAATTTTTAGAATTTAAGCATTGTAGTATTAGATTAATACCTTATTTCTCATTTCATATTCAAAGTATTTTAGTTACTCTTATTGTTTTTTAAATTCGAAAAAATGTGATTTTAAGTATACTATTCTTATGTCTTTTTTGTCAGACTCTTAATAGAAAGATTTATACATTAATAATATAATTTTATTTAAAATTAAATCCTTTCATATAATTTAGACATTAAGAAATATTTTATCCTAGAAATTACAATTATTAATCATATATAAAAAATAATAAACTGGGCTTTTCCTTTAATATTATTTCTCATTATTTATTATTATTTATTAATTTAAATTATAATATAAATGAATACAAATAGAACTGATAATGGTTTATTACAGGATGTTTATTTTGGTCCTTGTGTTTTAATTGATTCTTCCCATGTAAACAACTACAAGAAAAATTCCCCCTCTAAGAATTCAATAACTTCGGATATTAGTTAGAAGGAAATCGAATAATCCAATAATGTTTCTCAAAATGCGGAAGTGTTACCATTAAATCTTCAAATTTAGAAAGCTAAGCAAAACTTCAGGAATAAGGGCAATCCTAATTAATAATCATAAAGTAATTTCATTAAGGGTAGCAAGAGACAACTACTGGAACCTAAAATATAGAAATTGGAACGACCTTCTTTTATGAGAACCCTAGTTAAAAATAACATCATCAATAAATTTAAAAATAACCTATTTTCATCATCTTATGTCCTTCCAAATTAAATGAAATACATCTTAGAAAATGAAAGCTACATCTAAGAATAAAAAGAAAAAACAAAAGTTAATTAAACCAAAATAGAGATGAAGTAATACAATTATATCTTTAAGTCAGTAAAGAAAATGGACAAGCAAGCAAAGTTTCTGAATTAAGTATACTGCTTATGCCTGGTAAAAATCTAACAATTTTATGGGATTTCATTTCTTTATTTGTTTTGTTTCTAAGATTATTCTTTTGCACTATGATTTCATCCTTCGGTTAATAGGATAAATTTTTCAAAGGAATTGAATTTTTCTTTAATATATATCTCATATTTGAAAGTGTTCTAACTATATATAGGCCTGTTATTCTCTAAGGAGAAATCGTTAGCGAACTTTAGTAAATTTGGATTCTTTATTCGAAAAATTAAATGCTAGAAGATTTATCAAGTTTCATTATTTGGTTTTTGATTTATTTTGATTTGAATGAAGTCTTAGTACTAAATGAAATTTTAGCCATATCATAATTTGTATTAACAGTTAGATAAATAGCAAGGAAATATAATATTCAAATTGAATAATTATATTTAAAAGGATTTAATAGTCACTTTCTAGATTTAATAAGTCTATTCATTATTATATGTTTCTTTGCTCACTTAATGGCTTGTTTATGGCATTATATTGGTTATATTACTTTGCATTAAGGTTCATGGTTAACATATTATGAGATCACAAATGAAAATATTTGGGTAAAATACAACATTTCATATTATTGGGCTACAATGACAATGGTTACTGTTGGATATGGAGATATTACACCTAAAAATTAAGTTGAAGTAACATTTGTATCAATAGTAATGATATCTTCTAGTTGTATGTTTGCTTATTCAATGAACTCAATAGGAGTTATAGTTAAAACTATTTATGATGAAAAGACAAGATTTAAGTATTGATTTATTTATATATTAATAGGAGAACATTAATATTGATGAATAAATTTATGTCAAAAAATGAAGTAGATTCTTAAATCTAAAGTAGAGTTAAGAACTATATTAAATTTAGTATAGAACATGAAGTATTGGAGAATAAAGAAGAAACAACTAAAATGATAAATGATTTACCAGTTGGTTTAAGAAAAGAATTAGAATCAGATATATAATAAAAAACTATTTAAAAGATAAAGATCATAACAGATTATTTTTCAATTCAAACTTAAAATTAAGTAAAAAACAATCTAATACCAGTCAAATTTACCCCAAAAGACATAATATATCATAGAGAAGATGTTAAAGATAAAAATTTGTATTATAATGTATAAAATATTTTAGATATTTCATTTCAGAAGGAGAAGTACAAATTTTAGAAGAGCAAAGTTAAAAGATAATAAAAAGATTGAAAGCAGGAGATGTTTTTGGTGAATTTTAATTTTTTACAGGATAAAATACTAAAGAATCTACTATAAGTGTGGGATTTACATAATTATATCGGATAGATAGAGATAAATTTATAAATATCATTAGATAAACACAAAAAGATTATGAAAAATTTCATAAAATCAAAGATTCTATTTTATTTTCTAAAAATTATACAAGCATTTTAACTAAATGTTATTTATGTAATAAATTCTCACACAAAGATATTGAATGTCCTTATTTAACATATCAACCTTCTAAATATTTAAAAATCTTAAAATTTAATAAATTTGATCATAATGAAAGATAAAAATATAAAAGAAATGAAAGTAAAAAAATAAAAGCATAACTTGATTAATAATAAATTGAAGCAAGTATTAGAGACTTTTAAGAATTTTTATCAGAATCAATTTTAGGAGAATTCAATAATTAAGTTTTAACATATTAAGTATCTGACACTAGTGGTTAAGTAGAAACGATACCAATTGAAGAAATGAGAGAAAAATCTATAAATTCTATTAATAAAAATATTCAATAAAATGGATTTAATAGAAGGGGATCTTATACACCAAATTTGGATAATAATAATATTAATAATGAAAAAAAGAAATCCATAGTTTTACCTAAAAAAAAGTTATCTTTTTCAGAAGATGAGAGAAGAAGAACATAAATTTATAGAGAAACTTTAATATTTAAATAATTAGATTAATTTTAAGTTAAATAATAATTCTATGTATTGGAAGGATTTGATAAAATGTAAAATTATATAGATTATTTTCCATATAATAATGCAAATTAAGTAATAAGAAATGCTAATAAAGAAAAACCAAAGAGTAAATAAATTAAACCTTAAGTCTTTAAATTTTCTAATAGTTTTAGAGTGATGAAAAATATGTGAATTTTCATATTTTTGTAATTTAAATAATCATTTCTTAAAATTATCAATTATATCAAATATTTCTAATTTTATCAATTAATTTATTATTTAAAAGGATAGATAGAAGCTATCATTTAATATATATAATTATTATATTAAAATTAATTAAGAAATCAACTTAAAACAAATTCTTTAATTTGATCTCTATTTATTATTGAACTTTACTCAAATATTCTTCCAATTTAGAAATCAAAATTAGGTAATCTATTAACAAGTGGAGATGAATCATGACAATCTTCAGTTTCACATCTTTGCTTATAGAGATTATACAAAGTTGAAACTTATTCATAAGCATCATTCAAAGAGATTCTGTCAGATATATTTTTTTCTAATAGAGATTTTAAAAGATTCTATAATAATACATAAATATCTTACAATAATACTAGCTGAAAAAATATTAGATTTTTGTTTTTAAAAATTTATTTAACAAATTCTATTGTTGTGTATTAGCTATTCCACTGTATCACCTTTAAAAGGTAATTCATTAAATAATCTAAAATAATCAATAATTTAATTACAATTGATAAAGCAGACAACCACTACTAAAAACATCACAACTAAATGAATAATAAGTGCATTGAGAATTAAGCACTTCTGGTGCTGCATATCCAGGTGTTCCACATTTATACAAAAGATATCTGTTAATATTGGTAAAGGTTGCAAATCCAAAATCAATTATAGTGAGAGAATTGAAATCATCTTCTTCAGCTAAAACTAAATTTTATGGTTTAATATCTCTATGTATAATCTATATATAAATTTATATTTACTTCCAATTAAGATAATTTAATTAATGCTTCAAATAGCCGTTTCATTATAGAGAATATTTAAAACAATGAGAATGTTTTATTCATTTTTTTATTATTTTCCAGATAATGAGATAATGAATATCCTTCCAAATATTTCATAATGATTAAATAATATTAATCATCCTAATATAAATCTTGAATTTTCACAAAATAATCATATCCTTTGACTATATTCATCAATGCTATTTCTTATTCTAAGATTGACTTAAGTTTGTATATATTATTTTACATAATTTAAAGGTGTTAAATCCTTTTTGTTTATATATTTAACAGCTAATTCATTACCAGTTGATTTACATTAAATTTTTTTCACATTTCCTGAAGACCCTTTACTTATCTCACTTTTTACATTATATAATTCATCAAAATTAGTAAAACTACATCTACAACTAAGCAAATTCTTTAATCTAAAATTCAATTCTTGAAATAATATACTTTTTAAGTCCATCAACATCTTTACAAATGAAATTTTTAGATTTTTTCTTAATTTTTATTGTGAATCCAATAAATTTAGGTAAACTATCTTCAATTTTGATTATCCACTTAATTTGAGTGATTATTCTTATCAAAAGTTGAAATCTGAATATATAAACTCCTTGCATTAGCTTTATATATAAGAATGTGATTATCATACCTTATAAAATAAAATTTTATCTCCGATATATGTTAATTCATAGGGGTGATCAAAAAATATATTTTTACTGTAAACCTATAAAGTGAGATTAGTTTAGTTATTCATTTTAATGAATAATTATATTTAATATGTTTATTTGTGTGAAGAATAGTTTTTATTATTTAATTAAATTCATAGTTATTTAAATTCTTAAATAATTCAGTAAGAGTAATCCCAGATTTTTAGGAAACAAGTTTCAATAGATATACAAATTTAATATAAATACTAAAACTATTTCTAACTTTAAAATAATAAAATTATTATCATAAATATTAAATTAACGTAAAAATTTGGATTTTTATTCTAGTAATTAGTTTTCTTTAATTGTTTTTATTATCTATAATTAAAATTTTTAATTTTAATGAGAGCATGGTAGCCGAATTTTAATTATTAGATTTTTGGTATTTTTGTATTTTTATGTTCTATTTTAAAATGATTCATCATAATAGATAATTTAAATACAAAATAATAATAATAATTGGGATTTATTGAATTTCAATTTTTAATACTTTAGAATCAATTTTATAAAAAATAATTATTTTTTTTATTGTTTTAATAATCTTTATCGATAATTTCTTAGTAATAAAAAAATTAATATGATTCATCAAGATAGGAAAAATAACATAAATAAAAAAGAAATCATTAAACGATACACTTTCATTTAACATTTAATTTTAGATCGAATCTAACCTTTTTTTTCACTACTTCTTTATTTTAGACTGAACCTTATTTTTAACAATATCTTAGTTCATGTTTGAGTATTGTTTTTTTTGTATTAGTATCATCACAATGAAGTGATTCAGCAGATTCTGAAGATGAATCATTATTATTTGGAATGCAATCTTATAAGAATTAATGAGACTGTTGTATCGATTCAACTGCATCAACATCACCATTAACTTCCTTTATTTCTTGATTGTCTCCTTCCAATTTATGTGGTTCATGAATATATGTAACTGAGGCTTCTTCTTTAAAATTTTCATCTTATTATTGACATTTCTCTTTGTTTAATATATTTGAAGATGAGCTGCTTTTCTTTTATGAGATATTTGAAGTAGTAAATTAATTGAGATTTGTTAATTCATATGGTTTATCATTATATTGCCTACAGCAATTTGCACCCATCAGTATTTTTAATTTATATATATAATAAATCAATAATATAGATTAGCTTCTTGTATTTGATTCAATACAAGATGCACTTGATCAGCAAATTTATTTTGTTAATTAATCAACTCCTTTTTAATTGCTAAATTTTTAATCAAAACCTTTAAATATGTTTTCTTCATTTCATCAAGTTATTCAATCTTTTTTTCTTTCTAAGCTTCCATCTCTCTAATTTTATATCTTTATTCTGTAAAAGTTTCTAATAGTTAATCTAATTCCACCTTTTATTCATATTAAATTTGCTTATTTTCTTACATTTCCTTTTACCATATTCTCTCATCATTTGTTTTTAAAGCATCCTTTAAATCCTAGAATTTGACTCTTAACCATTAATAATCTTATGAATCTAATTATAACACTGATTATTCTTAAAATTCATTAAAAAATGCTCGAACTGGTTTTCGCTTCTTTTATTCTTCTTAATCAAATTCCAAATATCTCAACTTTACAACATCTAATTCTTCTACTTCATCTTCTTAACCTTTATTTTTCTTTGTTGTAAAACATTACATAGTATTAATATTTTAAAAATATAAAATAAATAAATTAAGTCTAATATTTCAAGAATACAATATCTCAATAATAATAAATTGCTATTCCTTCACTTATAAATATAATACTTTTATATATAAATCATATTGAACTTATTTTGATAATTCAAAATATTTTACATATATAATATTTATAATACATTCAGTTTATTATTAAACAAGATATATTACTAATAAGTATTAAATTAAAATACTTATAGTATTATGATAATTGTATTTTTAATAATTAAAGTATAATATTATATATATCATATTAAACATTGAAAATTATAGATAGTCAGAGTGATTCTCCTATTTAAAAGTTCTAATTAAGTATTGTTATTTTTAATTTTGTTATTTAATTAATCCAATTAATATTAATAATTCAGTTCAGTCTAATATATTATTAATTAAACCAATAAACTTAATATTAATCAACTTATCATTAGAAAATAAATTATAATACACCACAGTAATTTTTGATAAAATATGTTTTTTCTTTCATGTTTAATTGTTTATTGTATTAATTTATCAACACAATGTATCTAATGACAGAAATTCATTAGTATATAGACTTTTAAAAAGATATATAAATTAATTGGAATATTTCTTATATATTTATTGAAAGAAGAAATCATTTGGTTTAAAGAATAATTTGAATGATTGATATTAATGAATATATGTATATAAATTATGAAATGTCTTGATTTGAATGATTTTTAGAGTATTCATAAAATTTATATGGATTTATACAGGTTAGAACAAGAAAGAATAGAATTTTGATGTGAGAAGTGTATTTAATTGATCTTTTAAGTGTTATTCGAGGAACACTCATTTTAATTTAAAATAAACATTATTAAAATATACTTTATTAAGGAAATAAACCGAAAACTCATTTTTTAAAGCCAAAACAATAAATGATTCAATATTATAATTATAGCAATGCAAAATCCCAATTTCATGCCTGTTCTTATTTACTCTTAACATACAGGATATCCCCAATATTATCCCATATACTATATGCCATATATGTCAAACTATATGATACCTTAATATCAAAATACTTAAGAATCTGATATAAATTAGATAATCTCAAAATCTAATGATTAAAGTTAATTTTCTAATTAAAACTTTGATCCAAACAATCAATTAAATTTTGAATCAATAAAACAAAATAAAAATGAAACTGCAGTTGAAAATAATGAAGAAAATTAAACAAATACAGAATCAAATAAACCGAAATAAAAATCTGGAAAAAAGAAGATTAATCTCTTATAAAAATCTACTAACATTTAGAAAAATTATGCAAAAGCAATCGTGTCTTATGCATGTGGACAGAGAGTTATAATAATAAATACTTTAGGAAAGAAGAAAGGGATAGAATTCTTAAAGATAATTAATCAACTTAAAAATAAATTAAAAAATATTAACCATATAAAAAACTATACATAGAAAGAATAATACTTAAGTATGTTTAGAATATTGGGGTAAATATTTATAATAAATATTTTTAGGAATAAATTTTTGAAGAATGAAGCCGTTAGTTATATCTATCATTCCAATATTTAATAGAAGAGTTGCCATCTTAAACACTTAAAGATGATCGAGCAAAACTTATTGAAGTGCTGATCGAGTTATATGATATATATTTATATATTAATTTTGGTAGTAATTAAAATAACAAATACATTAATCTAATTAAATATTATAAAACATAGAATAATTAAATAATAAATGAAAACAGGAAGTATTTTTAATCCCAGAAGTGTACTTGATTTAACATATAAAATAACAGCTATGGATGCTTTCTAAAATTTCTTATTTACAGGAGATGAAAAAGGAAATATTTATAGGTAATAAAATGTAGAATATCAGATTAGGTACAATTTGACTCCTGAATAAGTAAATATATTAGCACCTAATACTATTTAATAATAATAATTTACTAAAGTAAAGATAGATTAAATTAAAATATTCCCTCATGCTAATGCCAATCTATTAGTCTTATCAGATTAGACTTTATATTTTATAGAAGCAGCAACATTAAGAGGAGAAGTGATAAGTAAAGAGAAAATAGCAATTTTTGCATTAAATGAATTCTCTAAAAGTAATTAATTGGAATTGATTATGATAACTAAAAAGAAAGAAGGATATATTATGCAATATAATTTAAAAACAGGAAGATTTGAATAAATGAGAGAAAAGTTTACTATATCTGACATTCCAATTACTGTTGCTTTTATAGGTAATTTATTTTTCTTTGGAATTCAAAAGAAAAATTATTCTGTCATTAATCTTGATGATAAATAATTGTAAGTAGCTAATTTATTAATGGATATTGGATCTAATCCATATTTAAAAGCAACAGATAATAATGAAATACTCATTATTTCAACAAATAATGTTGGAATCTTTATAGGAAAGGATGGTTAAATGAAATAAAAAAGTACTATCTTAATTTAAAATAAAACTATATCACTTATTACAACATTTAAATAATATTTAATAGTAATCTTTGATAATTTATTACAAGTATTTAATTTAATAGATTCTAAACATATGAGTGATATATAATTATCATAGGCTGCCAGATGTATAACTTAGACATCAAACCATCTATTTTATGGTAGTGCTGCTGAAGTATATTATTAATTTTCAAATAGATAATTTATTTGTATTAAACTCCTGCAGAATAATAAATATCAGAATTCTTAAAAAATGGAAGAGTAGAAGATGCTTTATAAGTTTATGCATAAAATAATTAAACTACTGATCCATCAAAAAATTAATAATTAGAATAATTAAAATTAGATTGTGGATGGTCTTTAATTAGATAAATGTAATTTTCAAATTCTCTCAATTATATTTTATAAACTAATTTTGAACCTAGAGATTTTATTTGTTTATTTCCTGATTATTATCCTACAGTTGAAAAATTATAATCAGTTAATCCAAACCCATCATTATAAAACATTACAATAATTATAAATAAATTTGTATAAGAATCAAGAGGAGATCCATAATAAATTTAAGAACTCAAATATTAAACTAAAGAGTTTTTTATTGAAATATTAGAAAAAAAGAGAGCTGTTCTTACTTCACCATAATATGCATACTCAATGAAAGATAAACTTAATCTATTAACAACAACACTTAATTTTAATTAAAATTAATGGCATCCTATTTCATGTGAATAATTGTTAGAATTAATAGATTTTGCTTTAATTAAATTATATTTAGAATCTTAATAATATTTTCCTAAATTAAAATCATTTTTAACTAGTAATCAAATCTATTGTATTTAAATGTATACTTAATTATAAGGATTATTTTTAAATAATAGAGGAATAGAATAATAATAAGGTATTTTAGCTAAGTTTTATGAATCTTTTAATAAAATTGACTAATCTCTTGAAATTTGGAAGAAAGTTGGTAGAGAATCTGTACATCTATAAGAATAACAGGAAGCATGTGAAGAAACTACAAGAATTTTAAAACAGAATCCAGAAAAGAATAGAATCTTTAAATTTATAGTATGGGTATTTAAAAAATAATTTAAAATTGGTGTTTAAATATTTTAAATTAGTGACTAAATTATTTCACCAGATTAAATGTTAAAATTTTTAGAAGAATAAGAATTAGATATTGAATTAAAAAAAAAATTAAAAGAAAAATATCTTGAAATTTTAGTTTTAGAAAAATAAACAGAAGAAGAAAGATTTCATACTTAATTAGCATATTCTTATATTGATTCATTATTTTAAATATACCCTAAAGAAATGGATTTCTCAAAAATAGATTTAAGAAAAAACTAAGTTGTTAATGATCAATATTAAGCATTGAAAAGATTTTTGAAAAATCCAAATGCTAAATATAATTCATCTAGTATTTTAGAAAAAAAAGTAAAGGATTCTTGGATGATAAATGAAGTCATTTTATTATATGGAAGAGAGAAAAAACATGAAGAAGCACTTAATTTACTTTTAAGTCTAGGATTCTATGAATGGGCTGAAAAGTACTGTTGTGATTATACTGATAATCTTTTAACAAAACTATTTAAAAAAGTATTTAGTCTAATATAAAGTTTTAATCTAGTATAAAGAACTTCATTTTTATTTAGAAGGGAAATAAAAAGAAAAACCAATGGATTAGTAAGCTTAAGATGCATTAAATTAAATTAAGGTATTAATAATATTTTATAATATAATAAGATTACTATTAATAATTTCTTAAAAAAATTTGCAACTCACTCTTAACTTAATGTTCTGGAGGTTTTAGATCTAATTCCTGATAATTGGATACTTTCAGATTAAAGTGAAGAAGATGGACTATTTTAATTTCTAAAAAGTGTAATAAGTAATGTTTAAGATTAGATTTAGGTCATACTTTACATTAAAAAAGATCAACAAAAGCAGCTTATTAGTCATCTTAAGTGGATTTGTTGTATGTATAATATCAAGTTGCTTCAGCTAAATAAGCAAATGTGAGAATGACAAGTGAAAAGAAATGCTCTGTATGTAGTAAAACAATTGGAGAAAAAGTATATAATTAATTAAATAGGTTTTTGTGATATATCCTAATAGTGTTTTAGCACATCATACTTGTATAAAAAGTAATACAATTTGTCCATAAACAGGAAGAGATTTTGAGAAATATTTTAAGTTTTGATTAATTCATATGAATATTGATTCTTTTCTATGAATTTCTTTATTATTATTATCATTTAGTATACTATTTTAATAATTTATAATATAAAATGATGATTATCAGAAAGATTAAATTCTTAAAATAGTATTATTATGTATACTTCTTATAAAGACATGATTTAGTTTTAATTGTTTGAAAGACTCTGACATTTTTGATTTATTTTTAATAATACAAGCTATTTATAAGAACTATTGATAATATTTATTATTTGATAAATGAAAGTTATTTAAAGATTTGTAGTGATGCTATTTTAGATCAACGGACTAGGATTTTCTATTTATTACTATTCATTGAGTTCAGAAAATAGCAATTTGGCTTATTTGATTCTACAATCTATTCTAGGTTTGATCCTGTTATATATTTAAACCAAAAATCAGAGGATCTAATATATAGGAAATATTATAATAATTCAGTTTAGTCTTTTTTGGTAAGTCATAACTAATTAGAAGAATATATAATATAACAGTGAAGCCTAGGTGATAATAGCTCATTTTTTAACAACTTAATTATTCCAAGATTTTAAGAGATTTTAAGAGTAATAAATTCAACTAAGATATCGACTAATTTGGTTCCTATTATTGCTATAGTCTACTTTTTTTTAAATTCTTTACATTTCTCAAACTTCTGAAATTAACTTATCTTACTGTTAAGGAATTATATGCTTGTTATTTTCATTTGCAATTAATTACTCAATTTGTATAAGAAAGCCTACTATAATATAAACTAAAGCAAATGAATCATAATATAATATAAATTGTACTTAAGTAATAAAAAGAAAGGAGAGAGTATTATCATTGGCTGAATCTGAGAAGATATCACCAAAAAGTAATTAATCTCCACATTTTTAATTAATTCCAGAATAATCTCTTATTGATTAATTCTTAAATTCAAATATTTTAGATGTAAAGATGTAATATTCTCATGAAGGTTTAATTGCATTAAGATTGAAATAAAATAATTAGGATATGGACATAATATATTCTAATATTGCTTCAAGAGCATTATTATCTGTGAATTCATAGAAAGAAATAATAGATATTTTAAATTCTTTTAGTAATTTAAATTATATTTATCATCCAAATTATGATGAATATGAACTTCATTTGAAACATTCAAAATAATTATGTAATAAAAGTATGGCATTTTTAAAAAGTGATTAAATTAATCAATCACCTTAACTATATATGTATTAAACACATTCTGATAAATATTAAGTCTCTCATCTTAAAGATATTTTTGATAAATTTCAATCTGATTAATTTAATGAATCTTTTATTATTCATGCCTTATTCCCCATTAATAATGTAACAATGTCTTAAAGTGAAAAATAAGTAGAAAAATTATTGGAATTAACACTTATTAAAAGAAATGTTAATTTGTATTTCATGTTGATTAGAGATATTACACATAAATAAAAAATTAGATATTTAAAAGAATATGATATGTAGAAATCTAAAATGCTTTCATATGTTAGTCATGAATATAGATCACCTCTTAATTGTATAATTTAAATGATTGAAGATGCACTTCATTCTAATTAATTATCAAATGATATGAATGAAATTTTATAAGCTGCTTTAGATAATTCAAATTATATACTTAATCTATCTAATGATTTATTAGATTTAGCATAAATTAAAAATGGTAAATTTGCTATTTAAAGATCTAAATTTAATTTAATATAATTAATAAAAGAAGTTTTAAAACTATTTGAATTAAAAGCAAAAATAACAAATATTAATTTATCCTTATCATTTGATAATACTGTCTCTTCTGTTATTATTTCAGATAGAAATAGAATTAAATAAATCTTAGTTAATTTGGTTAGTAATAGTTTTAAATTTGCATCCAGTAAAATTATCATCTTAGTTACTTCTATTGATTCTACTTCTCTAAGAATTGGGGTACAAGATGATGGTATTGGAATATCTGAAGAAGATTAAAAAAAGTTATTTAAATCATTTTCAAAGGTCAATTCAGAAGAAAGTTCAAAACGTAATGAATAAGGTGTTGGACTTGGTTTAGTAATTAGCAATTAAATAGCTATATCTATAGGTTGTGGAGGTTTATAAATAGATTCTAAGTAGAATCAAGGTACTCATTTTTATTTCGATTTACATATTTAAACCAATAGATTAAAGAAAGTCTCAAGTTTTAGAATTAAGGAGATCTCTGCATCATTTTAAGAAGTTGATGAAGGGTAAGCATTCCATGTTGCTGAAGATAAAATTTACATTGATTTAGAACCACCTCCTTTAAGATGTAAACATATGTTATTAGTTGATGATGAAGTCTTTAATATTTTTACTTTTACAAAAATATTAAATAAAAAGTATTTTATTTTTTTCAATATTTTTAGAAACATAACTGATATAGATTCTGCTTCTAATGGAAATGAATGTATTTAAAAAGTTAAGAACAAAAAATGTTCTACTTTATGTACAGGATATAGAATCATTTTTATGGATCTCGAGATGCCAATTTTAAATGGTTTGAATGCTGCTAAATAAGTATTACAATTAAATCCTCATCAAAATATTGTTGCATGTTCTGGTTACATTGACAATTATGAAAAAGAGAACTGTTTAAAAATTGGAATGATTGATTATTTAGTGAAGCCTATTAGAGATCATGAGCTCACTTTTGTTCTCAATGCCTATTATTTTTGAACTTTTCTTTTATTTTTATATTTTCTATTTCAAAAAAAAGTTTAACTAATAAACTTATCTGTTTAATCTTCATTATAATATAATAAAATATTATTTCAATATTTTTTTAATGATTTTATTATATAGATACTAATATTTAATTACTAAATTTTATTCATATCTATATATATATATTCATTGTTATATATTTTTATAAGCATCTAGATATTATTATAAAATGATATAGTTTAATCAACAGTTAAAATATAAAATATATATATAAGTCTCAGTTATAAAACAAGATATTTTGTTTGAATAAATAATATTTCCAAAATGCAATTGATATTCCTATTCTTCTTGATTAAAGTTTCTTAAAGTTGGAACCCAATTTTAACATCAAGAATAATAGAATCAATCGATAATGAAAATATTATCATCTAAGATGATTATTTAATAATTGCTGAAGGAAGCTTTTCTATCTCTTATCAAGGTTTATAAGAATATAGATAATTACACATTATGTTTGATGCTAAAACTAATAAGAGTCAAAGTGAAATATTGATAGTAGTGAATGGAGTTAGAAGAAGTGTAATTTAATTATAAAGAGAATTCAATGAATTTCATATGTAATTTTAACATTAAGCTCCTAATGTAATGATTTAGATTAAATTCGACAAATAAACCAAAGTAGAAATAAGGAACTTTAATATATTTATTGAAGAATGTCCAAGGGATTGTAAATATTGTCTATCAGGATAATGTGATCTTGAGTTATTTGAAAGATGTGATAAATTGAGATATTAAGACTAATGTTTAGAAGAATGCCCTGAAGGAACTATAGCTGAAAATAATTAATGTGTATAAGCAAGTAATATATATTTATTTAAGATTTAGAGTTAAAAGAGATTGAATAAATGAAATCCTTTTTGTAAGAGGGACTTTAAACTATGTAGAAATTTGGAGAAGAGAAATAAGTCAATTTAAATTTTGATAATGATTTTAATGGATAATTAGAAATTGTTTTTAATTGTTATAGTAAATAAGAGAGAAATAATGATCAATTAATAAAAATAGATTTAATGAAGAATTAGTCTAAAGTTTTATATCCTTTTTTATATATTTATTGGAATTTACAATCATACAAATAGTGTCAGTCTAAATTAGAATTAGAGTGTTTATAAGTAAAAGGGATGTTTGAGATAGATTTTCTTAAATAACATTAAATTAATATTAATAGTTATTCAAAGAAGATAGATTAAGGTGGGTATTGGGAAATAGAAAGTCTTAAGATTTATAAGATGGAATAAAGATCTTATGATTGTGAAATATAGAATTGTAATTTATGTTCATATTAAAATTAATGTAAAAGATGTGTTGAAGGATTTTATGTATACTAGAATAAATGCATTAAGAAATGTCCTTTATATACTGTAATAGATAATAATAGTTGTATTAATTTGAATGAAAATCAGGCAGGTAAGAATAATAAATATAAAATAGATTTAGATATGTTGGTGAAATTAATATCACCATTTCAAGATTTAGAATAAATATTTGGTCAAATTAGTTTTGATTTATAAGAAAAAATTAGTTTTCGATATGAGAATGAAACAACATTTATAGGAGGAGGGTTATTAGATTAATGGAGAAGAACTACATTTTCAAAGTAAATGAATTTAGGTAGACATTATGCAATTAGAATTATGTTTAATATATCAATAGAAAATTCAAGTTAGGATTAGGATAGTTTTATTTATTCAATAGATGGAAGAACATTTAATGTTTATAAAAATACAAGTTTTATTGATCATACACTCAATCATAATAAAAACATACTAAATCTAAATTTAGGATGTAAAATCTCGAGTAATGGTAGATGTGTGATTTCTAATTACTATTTTATGACTATGAAAGTAATAGTATTTTTAGATATTTTTTTAGTGTTCTCCACTTTGTTAAAGTTGTACAGGTCCATCTTAATAGGATTGTAAAATTTATTAATCTAATATTCAAAAATTCGATTATAAGAATTATCAATGTTAAGATGGATATTATTTGAGTGATTATGGTTGTCAAATCTGTTCATAAGGTTGTGAAATATGTTAGTCTATAAATAAATGTCTCAAATGTTAAGATACAAAAGAGGGAAGGTTTTTTTGTAAACCAAATCTTTGATTATGCCTTCTTGATTTAATTATTGTTTATTTGTTTTTATAAAATTTATTTCGTAAATGTTTTACTTGAAATACATCATCACTATTTTATTGATGAATGCTTCTATAGCTTAATGGACAATTACTCATTATGAAGGCTATGATAAATCTTTTACACAAAATACATAGGATAATTATATTCAATTAAATTGTTAAGCTTACAATATTCCAATCATAGCTTAATAAGAAAGTCTATAAAAAGTCATTTCACTTAAAGACTTGAATCCTTTTGCAAAGACTAAAATTTTAGTAGAATTTATAGTTCCTATAGATTCATATTTTTCAATATAAATTTAAAATAAAACAATCGAGAACTATTAAAATTTGGAATTGGGATATGGATTTTCAATGATTAATGAATGTTTCAATACTTCTGATTATAAGATGTTATCATTCAATTATGAATTGGAAGGAAAAAATTATACAGAAATTTCTATAAATATTTAACTTTTGGATAACAAATCATAATAATAAAAAAGGTATGTAGGAATTAAATAAATTCATGTTTTTTAAATGGAATGTCCTTAAAATTGTTAGAATTGTTAATATGATGATTATCGTATTGTTTGTTTAGATTGCCGAAATAATTTTACACTTTAACCAAGTTAAGGTATGTGTTATTGTACAAATTTCAAATTTAAAGATTAATGTTTAAAATAATGTCCTGAAGGATATTCTGCAAATAGATTTAGTAGTTGTAAAAAAGTTGGTATTTTATTTTGTTGATTTTATTAGAATTTTTGGATACATAGACTTTTGGATAAAATATAAATCTAAAATTAAATAAGAATTTTGAATAATAAATACAATTAAAGAAATCTTCTTAAATCAGATTGGATATAGATTTAATTTTATCTAATTTCTAAGTATTCTATATCAAATACTTTTTTAGGCTTTCTAATAATTTGAAATAATAATTAATGATGTTTATTCAGGATTGATAGCAAATTACTATTCAAATCTATACCTCTCAATATTCAATATATCAGAAACATCATGTCAATATTCTAGTAATTGTACACTAATTCAATTATAAACTCCATTAATTGATGTGAATTCCTCATTATTGAATGTAAATATTACTTTTAGACCTATCAATTCTAAATTTCATAAACCAAGATATAATCGTTTTGAAGATTTAGGAGATTCAAATAAACCAAAAGATTCTGAAATCATCATTCAAAATATGAAAGTAACTCAATTATTAATAGATGAACCAGTATGTTTCTAAGAAAATTGTAAAATATGTGATTAAAAATATATTGAATAAGATTAATGTAAATAATGTAAAGATGGATATTATTTATTTGAAAATCAATGTCTGAATTAATGTCCAGAGACAACTATTTAAGAAGGTTTCTATTGCAAAACATTCTTAAATAAACAATCTAATAGCAAACTAATTGTTAATGATGTTGATATTACATAATATAATTGGGCTGGAGAAATATCTTTAACTGATCAATAAAGTTTGTTTTAATATAGATTCAATAAAACTAATTTGCTTTTTGGAGGTAAATGGAGAAGATAAGAATATACTAAGATACTTATTCTTGAACCTCATTATGCTTTGACTTATACATTTACAGTTAGCTACATTGATTTATCAGATAAGGATGAATAAACAGGATTCTTTTACTAATTAGATGGTGGAGAATACCATTATATTAATCCTAAGGATTTGATTTAGATTGATGGTGATGCTAATAAACCAGATTCTATTGTTGAATATAGTAAGTATTTTAAACATACAAATAATGATATTATGATAACAATTGGATGTAATACAAATGGTTATTGTTTTCTGTAAGATTATTATTTAATTATACATAAATGTACACCATATTGTAAAGTATGCACAGGACCTAGTAAATCTGAATGTTTAGAATATACAAGGAATTCATATGAATTTGATTATAAAACAAAATAATGTAAATCTGGTTATTTTGAAAGTGATGATAAATTATGTCAAAGATGTGAAGTAAAAGATTGTTCTGAATGTGATTCTTAATATCAATGTCAAATATGTAAAAAAGGTTGTTAACTTCATTTACAAGGATCAAGATGTATATGTGAATGATAATGATAATGATAATGATAATTTTTAATAAATAATTAAAATATATAAAATTATAAAAAATCAAAAGAAATTATAATAAGATTTTTTATGTTTCTATTTGTGTATATAAAGTAATTATTGTTATTATATATTATGCTTATCACTTTATATTACAATATATCTCTTAAAAATCAATTCATATAATTTTACTAGTCTTAATTCTTTTTTAAACTTTTTATTTCTAAAATAATATTTGGTGAATAGTTTTTTAAAAAAGAAATTTAGATTAGGATAGTCTAAAAATAGATCATTATGTTTTATAAACAAAAATTCATATAATTAAAAGAATACGTTAAATTACAATATGAATATTTTCTATCAAGTTCAAAACTCAGATTAATTAAGGATTACAAACAGAAATATAGAAATTTTATTTTAAGCAAAATCTTGTAAATAAATATATTTAATAAAATTATATATATATATAGAGAATATCTATTGCTATTTTTTAGAAGAGTAAACACTAATGTTAGAAGTATGCTTTAAAAAGATTTTCTTTTATTAATTCTGATGAATGAATTTAAATTTATTCGTGTGTATTATTTCATTTAATATTTAAGATCAAACTTTTCTTTTACAATGATTTTGTTGAAATCAGTTGATATAAGTTACTTGATATAAGTATTGGATATGAAATATACTTGTTATAGATCTAACAATTTTAGGGGTTAGGCAAAGTAAGTATATAAAATATAAAAATTTTAAATATAATTTTAGTAAAGAATTTCTGGGGGGTTTGGGTGATTTCTTTGAGAACAATTTATTAGAATGAAATGATGATGACATAAATTATTATATTCATAACAGAATTTATCAAATATATTATGGTATATCTGTATATTTATGTAATATGGAAATATTTATATAAATAACATAATGAAATGGATGTAATTGCTTGTCTTGAGAATGCTTATGTAGATAGTACAATGTGGTAAGATATTGAATATCTATTAAGGTTGGGAACTATTTAAATCAGAATTAATAGATAGTTCAACCTTCTCCCTTTGGAAAAACTCTAACAATTAACCAGGTTCAAATTTACTTTAAGTCTGTGATCTATAGCCAACTCTTAACTCTAAACTTCTATAAGGGGATACACTTTTGAATAGAAATATTTTAATGCCAACTTCGCGAGCATTCAGCAAAATTAGAATAAGTTTTGATATCTACTATATAAATATATGGAATGCAGCTGAATCTATTACAGTTTATGCTAACAGTCTATTGGTTCATTATGAAAAACCATTGCCATTTGAAATTAAAGATTACCCTCTAAGATTTTGTGTTTCTAGGCCATTTGGAAAATCATACGCTGAATAATTTTCACGTATAGATTAGGAAATAGCATTTAATGATCCAAATTTAAATATTGAAATAGTTCATGATAGAGCATTAACAGGAACGACCAGTGAATATGGAATCAGCAATTTCATTTTATAAATATATTTTTGTGATGATAGATGTGAAGAATGTGATTAAAATGAATGTGTATTATGTAAAATAGGATATCAATTGATCAGAAATTAATGTATATGCCATCCAAATTTACAATATTCATACTTTAATCCTGATTTAACATGTGTAGATGAATGTCCTGTAAATTATACATCAGATGAGAATCGAATATGTTAATAATCTATTGTTAGTCCAATTTATTCTGATCTTGAAGAAGATATATTTAATACTTATAAATTTAAATTTGTTGCTGATAAATATTACAGTATAAATTAATAGATGATAAATATAATTGGATCAAAGACTATTGCAGGTATGTTTACTAATACAGATTCTATTTTTTATGATGACGTTTATTTACAGCCTAATTTTAAATATACCATCAAATTACACCTTTATATTACTGGTAAAATGTCAAAGTTATTCCCTGAAACTATTTAAATACTTTTTAATTAATATGTTGTTGTTTATATGGAGGATTTTAATTAAATTTCATTAACATCTCCAATTACTTAAACTACAACTGTAGGTTAAGCATAATCTTGTTTTATACCAAATTATACAAAGTGTTTATCATATGAAATAACTATTTAAATAGAATTAACTGAATTAGTAACAGAAATAATGTTTAAAACTAAATTTTAATTAAATACACCTTAAAGAACATGGGGTATTAGAAATTTCTAAATTACTTAATATTAAATAACTTCAAATACTTTTTAATGTTCAAATAATTGTTATACATGTAATCAATCTCAACTTAATGTGTGTTTATCTTGTTCTGGAAGTTTGAAATTATTTAATGGTAATTGTGTCTCTTAATGTCCAAATTATACAATAACAAATGGAAACTCATGTGAAGATCTATCACTTAATTCTGCAGATGAAAAATATCTAGTTAATATGTATCATGATATGAATTATTATCGTTAAAATATTATAGAACCATTATAAGAAATAACTACATCATTTTTTATGAATCGAATTATTTTAGGTGGATTTGGTAAATGGTAGAATTAATAAATTAACTTTAAAATAATTCATGACAAATTAATTTATAAAGTAAAAATATAATTCAATTTGGTGTTTATTGATTCAACTAATAACTAAATTTAATTTCGTACTAGCATTAATAATGAATTACCACAATATAGTATATTTGGAAGTAGCATTTCAGTAGGAAATTAAATTGGTTAATCTTATGTTGAAGTAACTTAAAGTGTTTCATATGTGAAATCTTTTGAATCTACTTAAGAACTTAAACTTCATTTATAATGTATATAAGGAATTGATATTGAAGCATATTGTGGTATCTATGATTTTAGAATAATTGTATCTACTTGTTAAGATAATTGTTTAAAATGTGATGATCATGGGAATTGTATAAATGAAATTAATACAATTAGTAAAGATATTAATGGATGTAAGGATGGTTATTATAAAAATGGAAATGAATGTTTATAATGTATTTAAGGATGTACATTATGTACTGATATGAATTTATGTTAAGCATGTTAAGTAGGTTATGAATTAAGATTTAATACTTGTTTTTGTAGCTAAGTAAAAGAAAGAATAAATTATTGTGAATAAACAAATTGTTTTCATAATTGTAAAACTTGTATAAACACATAAGAAAGTTATGGAATTTGGAAATAATATCATCCAAAGAGTTGTTTATCATGTGATGAATCTAAAAATTTATGGCTAAATGTAAATTAATGTAGTTGTTTGGATGGTTATTATATGGAGAGTTTCAGTTGTTATTTGTGTTTACCAACTTGTTTAAAATGCTATTAATAAGCAAGAACATGTACTGCATGTCATCCAGGATAGAATAGAATTTTAGATAAAGAATAATGTCGTTGTTCAAATGGATATTTTTAAGAAGACAATGATTTAGTTTGTAGTAAATGTAATGATTTATGTTAAAATTGTAATTTCACAAAAGATTAATGTAATTCATGTTATTCTAGTCAGAATAGAAGATTAAATATTGATACATGTATATGTATGGATGGATTTTATGATAGTGGAGATTTGATTTGTAAAAGTATAAATTTATTCAATAACTTTAGAATGTCCTTAAAAATGTAAAACTTGTTTAAATGAAACTACTTGTTTAACTTGTAATGAAGATTAATATAGAATATTAAGTATTGATAATATTACATGCACTTGTTAATCTGGATATTTTGATTAAAGTCCTGAAAATACATGTGGAAGTATGTATTTTATTTTAATAATTAGAATGTCATTCAAGTTGTTTAGAGTGTAAATAGAATAATAATTTTGAATCATGTACAAGATGTTCTCATACAAGAGAACCTAAATATAAAAATAGTAATGTTTTGTTATTTGAATGTAAATGTAGAAGAGGATACTATGAATCAAATAATTAAGAATGTTCTAATTGTGCTGATTATTTGAATCCTCCAATTAATCATTATTGTTATTCAAAATGTGGTGATGGTATAATATAATGGAATGAAGATTGTGATGATGGTAATAATATAGATAGAGATACTTGTTATAAATGTTTAAATGGTAATTCCTTTTGTTTTGATTATACTTGCACTGGATGCTTAGCAGGATAATGTACTGGTTGTATAGATGGATTTTATTTAACAAAAGAATTCATTTGTTTACCCTGCAATTCAAGTTGTAAAACTTGTATTGAAAGAGCTGACAATTGTACTGATTGTATAATCTATAAAGAAGATTAATCTGGATGTCAAATGTGTGATTAAAATTTAGGATATAAAATAAGTGATTCTTAATGTGTTCCTATTTGTGGAGATGGAATTAAAGTTGATTAAGAAGAATGTGATGATGGTAATTTAATTATTGGTGATGGATGTGATTAAATGTGTAAAATTGAATCTGGTTTTAATTGTGGTTCTCAATGTTAAAAAGCTATTTATCCTAATATTATATTTGAAATCAATAAATCAGATAAGAAATTTGATAAATAAAGAATTGTAAGAATTAAAACAGATTCTCTAGTTTCTATTAGTGGAAGCATCAATTCTATATTTACATTTAAAATAAACAATTGTGATGATTATGATCTTACTTATATTGATTTAACTCAATATTCTGATAAATTCACTTACTTATTTTTAGAATTGACATTAATTTTTAAATAGTCTGTACCTGATCCAGAATTAGTTTGCTAGATTATTTATTAGAATGCTGTATTGAATTAAGATGGTAATACATTTGGAGAAAAGAATTATATGATCAAATTAAAGGAATATCAATAACCTTCTATTTCTACAGAAGAGGCTACTGATGGATTGATGAAACTGAGTAAATATATACTCTATTTATTATTTGGATTTGCAATAATAGCATTCTTATTTGGTGGATTGAATATATTTTGGAATCTTTTGGATGCCTTACAATTAGTCTCTTACCTTCAATTCTTTAATGTTGAATATCCCTATAATTTAAATAGTTATTTCACCATCTTTGGATTTGCTCAATTTGACTTTCTTAAAAATTACCTAAATTTAGAGACATTTATTAGTGAATATGTGAATACTCCTGATGCAGATGCTAAATTCAGAGATGAAGGTTATTCAACTGTATTCTATGTCAATATCATTCCAGTCTTTACTGTATTTATTACTACTCTTATTACTTATATTGTATGTACAGCATTGTTATCAACATTAACTAAATTTTCACATTCCTTTGTATATGTACCACTCAATTCTTAAGAATAAAGTATTTGTACCTTTTTCATTTACAGAATAACAAGAAATCTACAAATAATATTGATGCGTTTCAATAAAGCCTTTACATCAGGTGTGATTAGAACTTTTATGGCTGTAGCTTTTGATTATAATCTTGCCTTATTTTTATAGTTAAAGGATTTCCAACTTAATAATCCAATCCTATTCACTAGTTTTATTTTTTGTTTAATAGCTTTTGTAATAGAAGTTACATTTATTTCTATGGCTATTAATTTTATGTCCAAACCATCCTTTGTATTTAAATAGAAAATTAATTTAGATAATTTTGGAGCTATTTATGAAGGAATTAAATTAGATAAAAATCCATTTACTTATTATTTTAATATAGTACTCTTAATAAAAAAAATGCTATTTATGCTATGTCTTGTAATGTTCTATTCATCACCTTGTTTATAAGTTGGATTAGTATCTCTTCTTAATATTGTAATGGCTCTATACCTTATAAAAATATAACCACTTGAAGACAAAGATGAATTATTCAAATAGGTAGGTTCTGAAATTTTAATTTGGTTAGCTGAAATGCTTATCTTAGGATTTGCTATTAATGAATAATCAAAATCACTTGATGAAGATTAACAACTTACAATTGGATGGTGTGTAATTTCTTTAACATCTTGTCTAATATTATTTCAATTATTTATAGATGTCAAATAACATATAAATTTTTTAATTAATGAATATGCCATCATCAAAAAATTTATTTAAAAACTTAAGAATATGATTTTTAAAAAAGAACCAGAATAAGAGGAATAAAATATTTTCCTTAAAGGAAGAAGAAGAATGGGAATTGAAAATTTGACATCCCAAACTAATATTATGACTAATAAGTTTAGAAATCTAAGTAATTAAAAATAAGGAAGAATGGTAACATTTACCATCAGCTCAAGTAGTAGCTGATTAAAATCTAAATCTTTTCCCTGTATATATTTGTTTATATATTTATACATCATTATATTAATTATTCATAATCATTTATTATACCTTCCACAATTCCCATACTCTCCTAAAAATGTTAAATTTTAACTCCAAATTTCTCATATTGATATATATATGCTCTCTCTTAAATCATTTAATTTGCTCTATCTGATATCATATTTAATGATTCAACTATATTGCTTGAATTATGAAGAACTGTAATTGATTTCTCATTCTTATTAAATTAATGTTCATCCTATACTGTATTCCAATTAAATTAATGTTTTTTAACATCATTTCCTCTTGCAATCATCAACTATTTAAATGGTTATTATCCCTTTTTATGCCAATTTATATTATATTCTTTTGTTCCAGTCATAACCATCTATTAAATTCTTTTTTCTAAAGCAGACCAAGTATCATTTTGAAAAGCTTTAGATTATTATGGCAATTATGGAATCTAATTTAACTAAAGTAATTTGTATTGATTATTAGTTATATTTAATAACTCTTAAACATATTGTAGATTATTATTAAATGTACTATAAACTTAATTTGTTAAACAAGGCCAAAAGAAACTAGCTAAATTTGTAGACATCACTTAATTGATATCATTCAAACTTGGACTCTTCAAATTTAATAGATTATTGCATAATGCTTAAGCTTCATCATTTTATAATAAAATTATTCCTTCACTATGTTAATATATTGATCCTATTGTCAATACTGTATTTAAAGATTATAATATCACTTCTCCTGTTAAATGAGGCATTACACATATATTAAATAATTCTATTTCAGGATATCTATCAGCCATCAATTCTAAAATATAAGATCCTAAACCAGAACCAGTTCCACCTGCCAATGAAGATATGAAAAATAAAGATTCCAAATATCCACACTCTTCTAATAATGTATCCATTATCTATAAAATCGCATTCTTATTTGCAGGACCATGATTATTGAATCCATATGCCCAATTATTTCCTGATCCTTCTTATTTTGTCAAACTAAATGCTGAATGAATATTCTCTTATACCCTTATCATAATATTCAGCTTTTAGACATCTATCAACTACTTTTGGCTCCATATCAATCAACAATGATTTTGCAATCTATTTGTTTTTCCGCTCAAAAAAGAATATTTCATTTAAAAGAGCCTAAGCACCTGGACTAGACATTTAAGTTCTAAATTCCAATAAGTTATTACTCTTAAATCATAAAATCAAATAATGCATGTCCAATCTAGTTACCACATTATCCTAATTATATAAAACCTAAAGACATTTTATAAATTAATTAATTATTTTTATTATGATAGTATATTTCATTTAAATAATTTATTCTCTATTGCAAAGTTTATAGATTCAAAGAATTTTAATTGTTTTCTTTATGTTTCAAATTATAAATAAGTACTCTAAGAACCTTAAAATACTAAATGTAATCTATTCTTCTTTAATTACTAAACAAAAGTAAGATTCTTCAATTCATACATCTCCATCTACTATCCATTTTCATATATCCTCAACAATCCTTTACATATACATAGATCTTAATTATTTTAAATCTTCTATGGTTTTCTCAAATATTACAAATAAGTATTATCTGTAGGATTAGTAAATATTTGATCTTTATCAATCTATTAAATTATCAAAGGTCTTTCAGGTTTCAATTTTTAATCTAAAATTGATCTTATTTCTTCTAATTACATTTATTATCGTTCTTTCATTATTATTTGATTCTCTATATCGTTAATATTCATAGATCAAATGATAGCTTTTTTTATTATTTCTAATTTATTTATGTTGTAAAATTTAAATATAAATTTATTTATGACTGATATAAACTTAAGAGATAACTTTCTTAAATAGCATAAATTCATCTCCATGTTCATATGTTATCCAATCAAAACTATCATTAGATTTTAATAAAAGCATGGAACACTTTTATAAGATTCCTTGAAATTGATATATAAAGAAGGAGGATTCAGACGATTTTATAGTGGTAATTTAGTATGATTTTCAAAGGGTTCTTTTATAGATATATTAGTAAAAGTGCTGAATTTGTAGTGCTTCTAGAAGCTTTGAATTCATGGTCAAACATTACAAAGAATAATGTTAATCCAATAAACTTATTGTTATCATTTATGATGGGAATTACAATACAATACACTTTTCTGCCATTCAATTCTTTATATTACTTTTAATAAGTTTATGGACATTCTGATGGAAAAGAGCTTTTATTTTATAAAGTCAAATAAAATGGTGCATCTGTTTTCTATCATGGATTTTGGTCTTTTTTACTAGGAAGTTTATCTGGAAGTTTAGGAGCATTTCCAGCATTGTAAAATTACTAAACATATAATAATCAAGAGGAAAATAAAAAAAGTGAATATTGTCTATTTTATTTATATTCTGCTTTTTTAACTGCGGAAGTAATTTCAAATCCATTTAAAATCCTAGCCATTTAAAGATTAACTAGTATAGAGTGTAAATCCTATGCATAAATTTATAATTAATTAATGAAAGAATAAGGCTATCAATGGATTTTTCGCTCTATAGATACTAAACTTCTTTATTCCTTTTTAAAAACTTCATTTATTGTTTATGCCTATGATTATAAAAAACTTTCAAGAGAAATGTGAGCTTATTATAAATGTATTTTTGATTTTCATTTAACAATAACATGTATTATATTTATCATTTCTATTATTATTATGAATATAATGGATAATCTAAATAACCTTTAATACCTTTAGTATAAAAGGTATCCACATCCCAATTTGTATTTAACTCATATCCATTTCTAACTCTCTCCACAAGATCAGGATTTGAAATAAATAATCTACCAAATGTCACTGCATCAAATTTTCCCTTTTCAATACCCTCAATAGCTGTTGTTGGTGTATATTGATTATTGGCTAATAATATACCACTAAATAATGGTCTGAAGACATCAAAAAGATCAGGAATCTATTCTTTACTTGATGGATAACCAAAATCAAATAAATTGGCAGGATCATTATCATCTTTGACTTCAATAAAAGCAATTTTCTTTTTCTCAAGTTCTTTAACCAAATAGGTATAGAGCTTAAGAGGATCAGAATCATATTAATCATTCAATCTACCTACTGGAGATATCTTAATACCAACCCTTCCTCTTCCAAAAACATTAATGAATTCATCAATCACCTATAAACATAATTTACTTCTATTCTCAACACTTCCTCCATATTCATCAGTTCTTTGATTTGAACTGTCTCTAAGAAACTAATCAATTATATATCCATGAGCTCCATGCAATTCAACTCCATCAAATCCAGCTTCCTTACAATTTTCAGCAGCTTATCTAAATTGTTAGATGACCTCTTGAATTTCTTCTATGGTCATTTCATGAGGTACTTCATGTTCTGTCAAACCTCTTCTATGGATGCCCCTTATCTTAATTGGTGAGGGACCCCAAATTTCTAATCCATCCTATAAAGTAGATAGACTAGCTCTTCCAGCATGCCATACCTAAGCATATATTCTTCCTCCTTTTGAGTGTACTTTATCAACTACCTTCTTCCAACCTTCAACCTACTCCTTAGTGTATATTCCTGGCTCTCCTGGGAAAGCTAAAGATCTTTAGGAAATCGGAACACATTCTGTCAATATAAATCCAGCCTCTGCTCTAAGTCCATAATATTCTATAATCATATCAGTGGGAACAAGGTCTTTTGATTCGCATCTCTATCTGGTTAAAGCTGCCATACAAATACGATTAGGAAGTTCGACATCTCCCATTTTAAGAGGCTTAAATAGTATACTTTAATCCATTTTTATTTTAATAAATAATATCTTCAATAATTAAAATTTATTCAAATCATATAAATTCAGATCATAAATTTGTTAATTCTGATGAATTTACAATTCTATAGCTTATATTGCATTAATTAGAAATATTAAGATTTATATTAATTATAAATTAATGAATGAATAAAATTAGTATTTTTATTTCATTATATAAAATATATTTAACTGTAAATGAAGTAATATTTCTAATTATTCTTGCTTTAGTTAAACTCCATCAATGAGATAATTGTACTAATATGGATAATAAGGATATCCTTAATAATTGTAATAATATGGATCTCCAAAAGCTGTAATTCCGTAAGTTTATTTTAAATATAGATTAGTTCATTCCAATAGACAGCATAAACATAATAATTATAGACATAACTAAATGAAAGATAATAAAACATATAAGGAAATAGAGCAGATGTTCATCATTTTGAGAGACCACTTTAAGTGGTACCATAAGAGGATATTGAATAAAAATGGAAGGAGAAATGCTGTATTTAAATAGTTATATGAATGATAGTAAGACTAGAAATGCATGTATATGAATTACAAGTAGAGATATAAAGACTAAGATTGTAAAATAGTAGTGGGTAGATTACATATATTTAAGATGATACAAGAGTAATTTAAATATTTAGATAGTTAGATTAATGAATTAATGTAAGCTAATAAAGAGATAAGGAATTAAGAATAATAAATGAGAATATAAAATAAATAATTATTAGAGGATTTGGAATCATGGAAATCTAGATATAAGTTACTTTAAGAGTCTAATTCAAAGAGTTCAGGATTAGATGAAGAAATAAGATAGTTGAAAAAGAAGATAAATGAATTATCTGAAGATTTAGCAGGGAGTCATGAATAAATTTAATAGAGAGATAATGAGATATTGAATTTGAAATAATTATTACATGATAAAGACAATGAATTAGATTAATTGGATGCTCGTATAAGGGAATTGGAAATGATGTGTGAGAATTATTCTTAATCAGAAACATAAATTATAAGTCTTTAAGGAGAAGTAGAATTATGGAAGAAAAAGTTTAAATAAGTGAATGAATAGAATTCAGATTTAGCAGAGAAGTTGACAATGGCTGAAACATAATTAGAAGCTATAAAAAAAAGATAAGTAACAGTCACAAAAGAGACTGAAGTAAGAAAGAGTGGTACTCATGGAGGAGGAACAACATCAACATATGAATAAAATGTAATAAAAGGTGCTTAATTATTACATCCAAGAGGTTCATAATATTTAAAATGAATATTTTTGAAAAAACAAATTAAATAAAATCTTTTTTTATTTTTTTATCATGGGTGTTGGTAAACCTAGAGGTATGAGAGCTGGAAGAAAGCTCAAAGATCATAGAAGAGTTAATAGATGGGCTGATAAAGAATATAACAAGGCTATGATTGGATCAAGATATAAAAATCCATTTATGGGTGCATCACATGCTAAAGGATTGGTTGTTGAAAAAATTGGAGTGTAATTTATAATATTCTATTTTAGTGAATCCAAATAACCAAACTCTGCTGTCAGAAAGTGTGTTAGAGTATTACTCAAGAAAAATGGTAAAAAAATATCAGCCTTTGTTCC